ATCTGGTAGAGTTAAGAAAAAATTTGAGACACACCAGACATTGTTTATAATTTCTGTCAACATACACCTTGACATGTTTCTTTTGTAAACTGAAATTCTGTAGCTTTAATTTCTAGCTCTTTCTTCCATGTTAGGATTTCCCGGAAAAGTTACAATTCCTATACTTTGAATAGAAAATATTACAATTATGCGGAAACTATTTTGACTTTGAAATTGAAATTATGATATTTTGCCAAGCCTCGTCAAGTAATATCTAAACATTTACCCATGAGCTGGATCCAATGCTAATGCTCTTGGTTCATCAAGATTGTCATCGATGAGAACTTTCCTAGCTGAGCCGTTTAGTCTGCTGACTTCAATTCTATCAGTGCCAGTGTCTGTCCAGTACAAGTTCCGCGCCACCCAATCGACTGCAACATCTTGGGGATGTTCAAGTTTGCTTGATACTATCACTTCAACATCTTTTGAGAGAAAAACCAACTTCAAAAGTGTGACCTTGAAATGCAACCCAGAAAAAGGCCATAAAAGTATTTGAAGATAGCACAGCCGACTTGCTGAATAATTTTGAAACACAGGTTCATCACGAGTGAGTAACAATACTTTAATTCGCTTCACGACCATTCATGAGACAGAAATTGGGATGAGGTCGCATCCATGATCATAAAGGTTTCAATGGGGTGACAGCTTTTTACCCAAAGTGACACACTGATCGACATTCTAGAAAGGAAAGATTTTTACGGTTAACTTTTGTTACCACTAAAGGATAAAATTTGTCAATTTTAACGCCTATCGATTAAATTTTCTGGCCGTTTTACGGCTAATGTTAACCCAATTGAGACCCTTTTGAGCTAACTTTAAAAATATTACTTTTTGTTTATTCTGCTTACAAGGAAAGGATGAATGACTGTGGTGGTCCAGTTCTTCGACAATGGTTCAACAGGGTGAGGGATCCCATTTTCCCTATACACCTTCAGTTTAGAATCTTTCCTCCAAGTTAATATTCCACAAATGGAATAAATTCTTTTAAGTTATTTTAACCTTAAGGCGGCTCTATGTGTTTTCCAGATCACTCAGAATTTTGTCAAGGTTTTTGTAGCAAATGAAAAATAATCAACAAGAATAACGTACCTTCTCCATCCATTCTGCATCTCTTTATTTCAATTGTTTCATCGTCGCTCCAATAGACGAATTTGTCCACTGGATCGAAATCAATGGCCACAGCGTGTCTTACACCGGAAACTGGCAAAACTACATGGGTTAGATCACGTGTGTCGAGTGATATACGACGCAAGTCCACTTTTCTTGCCAACAATAGGAAATTAGCAGGACCTATCGTGAAGATCAAAGGCTCATTAGTTTCTCTATGCAATAACTTTGCACAATTTATCGTATGACATTTTTTCCTTGATGATAAAGATTATCGTGAAACAACTAGGGCGCTATCACAAATGCGGCCATCTGATTGACTAAGCCATCTCTGTCTTGATGATGGTGGGTGGAGTTCGTAGGAAAATAGTTCGCAGTTGTAAAACGAATGAAATAAAAAGAAGTCAACCTTTCTTGTGGTTGAATATGAAACGACAAGTAAATTTATGATAAAACGATTAGATCATTCGCTCTCAATTTCCATACGTGATACTTGATGAAAGCTTCGTTTCACCCTTATAACTATCACGCGATAGAAATCTCGAGATTGTAAAGCAATTGGTAATTGTATCACGGCCTGGTTTAAAAGCATTCAAAATTGCATATTTGGGTATATTTGATTACACTTTTGACAAAACCTTGCCAAGGATAAAAGGGGTTTGAATAGGTAAACCCTCTTATCAAAAAGATCCAATCAGTAATTCTACTATGTGGTTGCCATTCATTTCCTTGTAAAATTCGATGGAAGGATTTTGTTGCTATATCGAAAGAACACCCTTAAGCTGATAAGCTTGACAGTTCTCACGACCTTTTACATGTTCCTCAGTTCTTGTTATTAAAGGGTTGATTGATTGGTGGATGTGGCTTCATGTCACCCACGGATCGAAGGTTTCTAAAAAAAGTGATTAAGCGGTTCACGGATGCGGCAAATAGGGAAAGGCAGCATGGGTGTTTGAAAACTTTGTGCATTTCTTAGCATTTCCTGACGCGACAGAATCGTAAAATCGCCCAAGTCCTCTTAGCAAGTTAACCTCAACAGCAATTTACACAATTTAGGGAAGATATCGCACAGTCAGGAACGGTAGACGTGTTGAGCCACTGGCGACACTCTTAGGAGAAAAGAAATATCGCTTTTTAGGCAATGTTTTCCCACACATTGCCGTATTAACATCTTAAACTCCCTAATACCGTGGAGCACACACTGGCGTTAAATTTTGACCCATATTATGGATCTTGCTTGTTTGGAGGAACGGATCGTAGATCGCATCGTTAGTCCTTTGTCGCCATTGGTTAGTAGCGGCTGCCGGTGTTTTGTCAAATGTGTCAGATTTTTGCACTGAAGGAGAGTGACAAGACTTTTCCTGACATATGAACTCTAAAAATTAGCAATAAATTATTATTTACTGTGACTCTTTCACGACACTTTCCCAAACAGATTCAAAGACAGAAAGCTTTGAGTAACATCTTAGCACTTCCTGTGGAAAATTTCTCACGTTACATTCTCCTCACCTTTCGCACAAGTTTTGCCATTTGGCAACAGTTTTACACCAGTGGGGCATGCGCAGGAATAACCTCGAGCATTCAATAAACACAGATGACTGCATCCTCCATTGGTGGTGGAGTTACAAGGATTTTGTCCTACAGAAAAAATCGAAAGAATGCGAAGAATGCGGCTCTCGAATGTGTTAGGATAACTGAAGTCATATTTAATTTTAAATTCAGCATTATAAGACTCTCATAAAGCCACCATAGGGGACAAGGATGAAAATTGGGGAATATCACTTGGGGAATATCACCGGGGGAATATCACTTGAGGAATATCACTCGGGAAATACCGCTTGGGGAATATCACTTTGGGAATATTACTGAATCTTCCACAGTTTTATCTTTAGAATATTGAGTCATGTGATGGATTTAAACCAAGCGTGCGCATGCAAAACTATTTGATGGACCATAGCTCGCGATCTCCTCCTTCCTCTTTCAGAAGCCGTAAATATTTCGAGCACATTGGGGAAAAACACATAATAACAACTTTAAAGATAGATGTATATTAAAAAGATAACGATGAACAAAGATTGAAAGTGGATGGCTTAGAATAACGAAGATTGGTGCGGATTGGAGCGTTACCTGGCTTTTGCAGCTGTCTTTGTGGTTCGTATGTACGAATATCCATAGGCGAATGGCCAGTGGACCAGATTGCTTGACACTGGAGAGAGCTCTTGTTCGCACAGTGTATCCCTTTGGTTGTCCAATCTGTCCAATAAATTTTGTTCTCGTACAGCGTCATGGCAAATGGATGGGCCAGTGCGCATTGGGTTGAAGACTTGAACATGATCGCACGTTTTGTACCATCATAGTTGGCTGCCGCTATGTGAAACAACCTTGCATCCACCCAGTATATTTTCTTGGCTTTGTAGTCTATTGCTAATCCATTGGGCCAATGAACGTCTTTTCCAATGATAACTTGACGATTGGAACCGTCCATTTCAGCACGCTCTATTTTGGGGTTCTCTCCCCAGTCTGTCCAAAACATATACCTGGCCATAAGAGAAAAAAAAAATGAGGTTCATTGAAAATATATTCATAGCATGAAACTGAAAGTCTTTTCAAGACCCAAAGAACAAAAATATAGTAGAGTAAGAGCTAAAAACGAAAATTAAAAAAAGCAAAAAAGACTAAAACAATTGAGGTAACTTAATAAACAATGTCAAAAACGAAAGAGAGATTCAAAGCCATAAGAAAATCCATACATAAAGAAACATGTAGCTAAAACAATAGAAAAAAAAAAACATGTTTCAAAGATTAAAATTTCTATGAAGCCGCCTGACATGCTGAGTTTAAATGAACATCTGATAAACCATACTAATTATCTTCCAGTAGGTATTTCCGATGATTCCAAGGACTTATAGGTCGGTCAACTTACCCCCACGACAATTACAAGTTGTCAGTCAATAGTCTTATCGTATCTTGATAGAATTTGACTTACCAGCTCAGTAAACTTCGGATATTGGAGTTTTTCAGTTATAAGCCCTATTTTCGACATAGATTGCGCAATTGCCAATCACCCCCCGGCGACCATGTAGGTCCTGTTTTGCAACCAAGTTACCGACACTTGTAATCGCTGGCAATTGCCATTTCATATCTCAACAGGTCAAGTAGGGTGGGCAATCTATTTTAACAGCTTACCAGAAAGCCAGAAGATCTCTAATATAATAGGATGAGTAGTAAGAGGGTTAGCTAAAAGCTTTTAAAATCAAACATATCTTGACCCTTGCCAGCACTGTATTTTTTTAGGCTAATTTAAAATCAAAATCGACTCATTAATAGACTACAAAAGGATACAATTCAGGAATTTCCTTCCAAAAGCAAAATGAAAAATAAACAAAAGAAGTAAAAGATTTTGAGGCTGTATGGAGAGCATTTCATTTTAATGTGGAGAAATGTTTGCGAGAAAAATCCCTTTGAGTGCGAAAAAAGTTTGTGTGAATAATGAAAAATAAAAAAAATATTTTAAGATTTGAGGTTGTATAGAGAGCATTTCACTTCAATGTGGAGAAATGTTTGCGAAAAAATATCTCTAAGAGCGAAAAATGTTTGGGTGCAAAAGCAGCGCACTCTTCAATGGCACATACATGGTTTTCAACCCTTTACGTGATCAACACAATAAAAAAACAACATAATTTGGAAAATGTCATGCCAGATTTTAGGGTAATGAAAAGTAGGATGCTTTCCGTAGCTCACGTTTAATAGCTGATTATCCTGGTGCTTTCTGGATGTCGTGCCCTTTACTTTTATTTGCACGTAGCTGGATTTTGCGGATGGCACGACAAATGGATCAAGATTTGTCCAAGAAACCAGTTTAGAACTACTGTTGACAAGTTCTATCCATGGTACTAACACCCTAAGCCTATTCTTATTTAAATGGATTCTAACTTAGGCCGCAGTTATGTCAACCGAATAGATGCCTTTCCAGAGAAAGCAACAAGCTTCCGTGACTTTGCTCACATAACCCAACGTTTAGATACAGCGTTCAGCAAAATTGAACATGCGTCAACCAACTGCTACACCTCTGATGTAATGAGTTTCCATTCCCAATGTTTTGTTTTCTTAGTTTAAAAGTCATAAATCAAAGGGTTACAAAAACAAACTTAGATCTTGTTATCATTTGCATTATCATTGCCAGACATGTGCATGATATCCACATGATCCCGAAGTTTAATTGGCTTGTTGCTTGTGTCTCTCCAACGTGTGCGTAACGACCTACCCATGTCAAGAGGGTTGAAGATTGATTTAGGAAATTATTCGCCTAAAACTATTTTTGAGTTGGCGAGATTTATATAGTTCATCTTGCTTTTGCCAATTTTGGGCATTTATCAGAAGAGTAAAACACCGTCGTCGCTATTATTGTCTCTTTCAGATGACATCGGTCTGCTAATAAAGATAAACTGGATAAAATTTGATCGGGAAACCTCTTTAAAAAGAAAGATTCCTGGAAGGTTGCAACCAATAGTGTTTCTTCCGAATAAAGTGCTTGTTATTTGTGTTTCAGTTTCATCAGTATTTAATTATTTGCTGGAGCATAAACTGCAAGGACGGCATCAAGCTGGCTACAATTTATTAACTTAATGAGGAAACCAGTTTTTACCTACCCTTTTAATGGATCCACAGCAATAGCCCTGGGAAAACCCAAGTCTTTCCAAAAAAGAACTTTGCGATCCAATCCATCGAAATTTGAAACTTCGATCCGATTTGTTTCCCAGTCAGAATCCCTACAATCAGTCCAATACAACTTTTTTCCCACCCAGTCCACGGCTAACCCCTCAGGCTTCTTTAAACCAAACGAGACGATATCTTCGATTCCCCCACTCTTCTCTCCCGTGATACGAACGCGTTCGATTTTCTGCTGACCAACGTCGGCCCAAAATACCAATCCTTCCGCATAATCAAAATCCAACGCGATAGCATCCTCAAGGGTATCTACGATCGTAGTTTCCTTGTGGTCACTTTGATTCGTTGAAAAGATTCTTATGTCATGTCGGTTGGCGTACAAGAGCTTTACGGAATGAGCTGTTAATAGCAAAAGTGGAGGAGAGTTATGAAAAAGCAGTTCGGATTGAGAAAAGAATAATTCAAAGATATGGGAGGGCATCCAAAACCGATCTACGAGAAAAATTGGAATCACTAGGGAACTTAGTTGTTGGAGGTGTCCACCTTCTGATATAGTTCTTGAATTACGTACCGAAGAAAACCGGTGTGCTCAGAGAACGAAGTTACATGTACCTAAAATGCAGGTTGTCTCTCCGGACTTTTTTAAGGTGGTTTTCCGTACCCGAAACGATAGACTAACTTGGCCGTCAACGACGGGATATTCTTTGTTATTCCACTGAAAAATGCACTTCTTTTAACTTCGTTCCGGAAATGTGAGGTTCTCGTTACTTTTCTAAAGAGTTTTGCCCACAAAGTGGTGCTAGCCAGCTTTGTTCGTAAAATGTTTCGCATGTTTTAAACCCCGATTAAGATTAAATTTTGCCAAAAATATGTGAAGGGTGCTTTTTGGTAAGCTAACACTGCAATTTCCACTCACCGTATGGGGTGATGCTCAAGGCAAGCAGAACGGGTAGTAGGTTTAGCACTTCCATGATTTGTTAACGACTTTAGATCAACGACAGCGCAAAACAAGAATTTTATTGCGGGAAATCGGATTTATTTAGACACATGATTACGTACGTACCTATAGTAAGCTTTCCGTTTTATATTGGCAAGGATCCCAATTCTGAGAGCACAAATTCCTGTAGAGGGATTATACAGTAGAATTAAGTATGGGAAAATATTCCTCAAAAGCCACAATTACTTAAAGCAGGTCGTGATTATGGACGACACTTTCCTCAGAAGAATTTAAGGCTACGCGATCAAGCTGTAATAAGATTTTGCTTTTTTTTTGGGTCTTAGTTTGTATGAGTTAATCGTATACAAACCTTCTTTGGAATGTAAATGAAATAACGTTTTAACAGGAAATCCTTTATAACCTTTGCCTCGCAATAAAATAACTTTCACAGTATCCTTTCTTGCTTTTTTCCACCAGGTGAAAGAAAACACGACAGCTTTTTAATAAGGTTGCGATTGTCTTAACTGCCGATAAAAATATACCTTATTATCAAAATACTAGCTTAGCAGAGCAGATACAAAAACGTCTCGAAAGAGTAAAACATACAAGTTATTGACTGATGATTAAAATGTATTGCAAGTTCGCTCCGATAAAAAAAAATTTTTTAACGTTCATCATACTGTGAAAGTACTTAGGGACATTTTTGTTTCGTGCGCTGTATTATTTTTAGGTCGAGTATTTTACGACCTAAAGATTTCAACCCACATACAATAATGGCCTTGTCAAATTGTCACCTGCAAAGATTTTTTTTGTTTGAGGATGAATATAAGGAAAGGTAGCTAAAACTGGACGATTTGCGACCATAAATAGATGGAATCAACCAAATTTAAACTTTACATAACTTACCTAATTAGCCTTGGCATCTAGGCAGTTCATTTGTTTCGATTTATGATAAATGACTTTGACCTTGCAAAGGACTCAAAAAATGTAAAACCTTCCTCGTTGTGATACCCCAAGATTTGCGATGTACAATGTTCCTTCTCGTCTTTTCATTTTCCATCCTAAATGACCAGATGGCATTAGCGGATTTGTAACCTTGCTTCTCACTTGGGTAAATTTTTAGGCCTGATGTATTGAGAAAAAATGGTTACATCATGCAAGGCGTTTATTTTAAGCCCGTTACTCTCTCAAGCTGTACTTCCGTCAGTCTCGAGAAGCATAGGCTAATTAGCACAATCTTTTGTGCAAAAGAGATAAAAACGCATGCAAATAACTTATATTATACAAATAGCTCGATGAAGGCATAAAAACTTCATTAATTCTGAACTTAACTGTGCATTTGTTTCTCTCTGCATAGCCTCTACTACAATGTAACGATGCAAGCTAAGGTGCTATCAGCTTTCTCAATGCATGCTAAAGAGCATCTTCCGTTCAGCACTAATGAGTTTAGTTTCTCAGTACTGAAGAAAGAATTCCTTGATCGTCAGTATTGTTCCCATAAAAGCCTTTCTGGTGCCAGCTGTCGACCGCGCGCCATTTCCAGGTTCTTCTCCACGATTGTAGAAACGTCCTAAACCTTTAAAAAGGTTCATCCCTGGTCAAAATTATGAGTTATGATTTCTATTATCTCGACATGATCTCAAGTATTTGTTACTTTAATTAGATATCTCAGTTATTCAGCCGGCGTTGATACAGATGTCAAGACCTTTGGGGGGATTTTTCGATGTTGCACTGGTAGCCAATAACAAGAAGACATATAATTGAGTTTAAAATTCTTTTTGCTCATTTCTCAAACCACCGTATAATCTTATAATAAGAATTTGTTGTGATAATCTTTGACTTGGTTATCCATATTATCTTTGCCACGATCATAGAAAGAAATCATAATACGTACAATTATACACCTTTTTAAAGGTGCACGGCCAATATCAATTACCAGCTGAGTTAAAATTATTTTCTGTTATCTCTCTTACCACCTTATAGTAATCAGCATTTGTAATGAAATCTCTTCGATATGTTAGACTCCAAGGTCACCATCATACAGAGAACTAATATCTTTTGGACGGTCAGTTTTTTCAAATTATACTACCATTATTCATGTAATCTCTATGAAGCTTTCCTAACGACAATCCTCTATGCATTTATACTTGTTATCCTGGCCATGATCTTCAAGAAATATCCTTGTAAGTTTGGCCGATTTAATTCACGCATTCTCTTATTTCTCTCAGCACGATTTAATCATGAGAATTTCAGTCCTCAGTGATTATGTTTTGCCTACTTAAGTATCCACTGCAGCTGTACGTGCCACAACCTTTAAGAGAGATCTAAGTGCCTCTAGGACGGTTCCTTGCTGGTTACTAAGTGGATTTGCGAGTTTATCAATTTTAAGATTCTTTGCTCATATTTCTCAAACCACTGTGTAATCGCAAGAATCTCAGGTTATTATCGTATTCATAAGTATCCCGGTGATTTTCACCACAGTCCTAAAGAGAGATGAAAAGTTCATCTTCTAAAGTGCGCTTTTTGTCAATCTAATTAGAAACATAATAGAGTTTGAAATTGTTTTTTCAAATTTTGCTTACCACGTTAAGATCATAAGAATTTGAAATGATAATCTTTTACTCAGTTATCCTTCATTAAAATACTCTTGTTACTATCGTTGCAAACTTCTACACTGCATCAGTTGTCATTTGGCAGGAGAATTGTTTGGCTTTTTTTTTTACGATGCTTTGTATCATCGGATTATCATAGATTTGTGGTGGAATTTCTTTCATGTTATCATGACAAAATAAAAAGCAAAATTTATCAGCTTCTCGGCCCCCCCCCCACCCAGCCAGTTGATTTCCAAGGCTTCTGTCAGAGATTTTTCCCATGTATCTTTGGGGTACGAGACCCCCCCCCGCGAGAGAGAGATGAAACATGCTTATAGCGGTTCGCCAAGTTTTCGTTGAGTTCTAGTGTCGTTGTGTTCAAGAATTGTACGTTGTTTTCACGTATGGCACTTAGCCTGTGAAGGGTACCGGATTAAAGTTTTCACATTGTCCTTCGAGCCGGACGGCAAGCGAAACTTCGTAAGAGGAGCGTTTGAAGACTTGACCGAAGAACAAGTATTGTCTAGCCATTTCATTCTGGTATTCCCAGCTATTAAAGCGTTGATTTCCTTCCGTGAATACTGGATTTGTACAAAGAGAATAATTGGGAAGAGTCGTCGTTATGTCGCTGAGCCTTGTTAAATCCAACCGAGTTCGTAGTGGACACAAAACACACGTAAGAAGAGTAATTAATAAACGATGCAAACGAGTTGGCGGGAACTTACGATAATGAAAACCCTGAGCACAGAGGTCGAGCCAAACATTATAAGTCTACTTTAACAAAAAAGATGAAACTAATCGCGGCACTCAACGAAACGATTATGGCCCAAGTTGAAGAAGAGAACATAGAAGCAGGATTGCAGATTCTTCCGAATTTATGGATAAAATTGATCTTTGTTTGACAACACTCGAGGACGCCACGCGCGTGGTAGCTGATTTTGTTGTCTCGCCGCCGACGCAAGCAAATTCGTCTCAGCAAGGCTAGCAAGCCGATGAGCCAGGACATAGAGGTGGTGGTGGCTCAAAGGTAAGACTACCGAAATTACATCTACCGTCTTTCGATGGGAAATTCAAAGATCGGTCAGCGTTTTGGGACAGCTTCAATTCAGCAATTACTTCAAGCCAGTTGCGCACACCTGTTGAAAAGTTAGAAAATTATTGATGCTCACATGGATGCACTTGTTAATCTCCCTATTGTTGAAAATGCACATGATTTAAAGGCCATGAGGCATCTTTATGATGAAGTGGAGGCCAATGTACGAGCATTGGGTGCACTGGGCCGCAACGCAGAAGAATATGGAGGTCTCTTACTTCCCTTAATGTTTCACAGAATACCAGAAGAAATCAGATTGAGCATCTGTAATAAAGTTTCTAGGGAAAATTGGAACCTTGAGAGAGTTTTGAAGGAACTTAAGCAAGAACTATCAAACGGGGAACGTTGTGATTATTCAGGAGTCACACATTCTGGAGATACGTCCACAAAGAAAGATGAAAAACTGGCACCTGTTAAGATGTCAGGTGGCAAGGGYCCCCCCTCTACCACTGCACTGATGGCTGTATCAGAGGGAAATCAGAAACCTGCATGTGTTTACTGTGGCCAGCATCACCAATCTGTTCAGTGTACTGTTGTCACCAATGTTCAAAAGCGCAAGGACATTTTAAAGAAGAGTGGTCATGGTTTCATTTGCATCAGGAAAAATCACCTCAGTAGAAATTGCCGTTCACGATCCCGTTGCAGTAAGTGCCATGGACGACATCACTCCAGCATCTGTGATCGTCTGTGAATATGTGTGTGGGCATAAAGAACACTATACTCTTGCAGACGGCAAAGGCAACTGTATACAATCCCGAAAATAGCCATTGCAAAATGACCATTGGAATCATACTGGACGGAGGGAGCCAGAGATCGTATGTCACATAAAGAATTCGAGATGCCTTGAATTTACCCATTTCATAATCAGATTCGCTAACAATCAGGCCCTTTGGTTCAAACACTGGAATTCACCAGCAGCGCAAAGTAGTAAACCTATGCATGAGAACACTGTATAGTGACGATGTAACACTATCTGCTATTTGCGTCCCTGTCATTAGTTCCCCGGTTCAAGGCCAATATCCCAGACAGGCAGTGAGTAATCACCCCTATCTTGCTGGCTTGACTTTAGCTGATGACTGTGAAGGAGAAGCAGACATTGACATACTGTTTGGTGCGGATCAATACTGGAACCTTGTCACAGGCAGACTCATCCGAGGGGATTCAGGCCCGACGGCCATCTGCACCAAGCTGGGTTGGGTCTTATCTGGGCCAGTCCATTATCAAGCACCACCGTTGATCTGACAAGTACACATGCGTTGAAATGTCAAGTCTCGAACCACCCAGATCCAGATCTGCTGGAGAGCAAGCTTGAAAGATTCTTGAGGCTTGAAATTTTTGGCATAGTTCCTAATGAGAGCAGTGTTTATGATGACTTCCAGCA